AGATCGACGAAGTACACTGCTGAGGGGAGCAGCGGGCGGGTCAGGAGAGGTCTGCCGCGCCATGTGGTCACCTCCAGTGGGGCAGACGGGGATCGAACTCATGCGGAAGTGGCTTCAGATTCTCAGTGCTGCGCTTTAACCCGCTGCGCCACCAGAGAGGGCCCCAAGTATCTTATTTTTAAAAAAACAAAAACTAACTTCAGTTTCTTAAAATATACCACAGAATGAATAGGAACCGTACAAGAAGATATTCACACTGACCCTGGTTTAGTACCCACAGAGCATCACAAACATTTACAAATCAATAACAAAAGAAGTATAACCCAATACAAAAGTGGATGATGGAAGTGAACAGAAGAGGAAATGTGTACGGCCAATCAACTTATGAAAATCACACTCAGTCTTATCAGTGATCACACAAATGTCAATCTCAAAATTAAAAAAAGTAAAAGTAAACCACACTCACAAAAAATAACAACATTTAAAAAAATCTGAAATTGCAAGTGACAGCAATGGGAAATCACTCCCTGCTTGTGGGAATGTAATTTGTGTGATCATTTTGGACAAGAGTGCTTTAAAGAGCCCTGTGAGAGTGCCTCCCTGGTGGCTCAAGGTGTTAAGTCTCAGTATTATGAAGCTGTCAGCAGCCATTGCAGCACGTGTTCAATCCCTGGGAAGGGAGCTGGCTCACATGGCACAGCAGACCTGTTTTGTCTCCCCTCAGCAGCAGACTTCAATGGATCCACCTTTTCTGCTCCTCACTCTCTAGGGAATCTTTGCACCACCCCCCACATCTCTTCCCTGTAGCCCAGCTCTTTTATACATAAACAAAATAAATCTTTTTTTATAAAAAAAAAATAAGATCCCTATGAGGTTCAGTACTAGTTGTCATGGTAGAACTGAACAAACTGGTAAGTTGTGGTGAGAAAATGTAATGTTTGAATTCAGGATTTAGGAGGCAGAGAAGTTGTGTGATGGCAAAACAGAGGTGAGAGGTTATAGGTGGTTGGCTAAAATGGGGGTGTGCTCATTGAGTATGTGGTGTGTCAGCCAGGGGTCAGTCAGGACAGAGAAATTACAGAGTGATTGAACAGGAAATAGTTAACAAAGAATACTTAATTACAATAGGGGATAGGAGAAATGATGAGTGGCCAGCAAGAAGTCAAGGGAATGCTAAAAGAATGTAGGAACAACAGATGTAATATATCATAGCAGACAGTAGAAAAATAATATATCCTAATCACCAACCCTAGAGCTGTGATAACCCGTGGCCTTCACCAGGCCTTGTTGGAGAAGCTTCTAGGTTGCAGAAGCAGTGGAACTTACGGGACATCTGCCCCTGAAACATGCTAAAAATGTGCCGCTTTAGTGTGTTGGTTTCCCAGACTCAGGGGAGGTTTCTCACCAGAGACACTTTGTGACAAATGCACCCAAAAGTGGTGTCAGGGATGCTGCTACCCACTGTGCATTGCTGCAGAAGGTGTGTGCTAGGAAAACCGGGATCTTGTCAGGAGTCTGGCGCGAGCACACAGGAAACAGGAAGTCAAACCCCTTCCTTTTGCAAAGTCTCTCCACTACTTGTTACTGATAAAGCTTCAGAATGTGCCAGCTGGCAAAGTAAAACATATTTAAAGGCCCCTTGTCCATTTTCACCAGACATAATGAGCGGTGGAAGGGGCAAGGAGTTGCCCCAGCCAATGCTGCCGTGTTGCTCTTGTGGATGCTGACATGACCCAGGCATTGGCAGAAACTGGGATGGAATGGAAGGCTCCTACTCACCTTGTTTCTCCATGTGTGACCTTGGCACACCTGCATCAGAATCAAGCTTCCTGGGGATGTGCGCACTTGAATAATGCAGATTCTTGTGCCCCGTTGCAGATCTCCTGAACTAGTGTATTGGATCACTGGGTTCCCAAATCTTCTTTTAAGGAATGACCCAATGGATTTGAAAATTTGAAAAATCAATTATGAGTATTTCCAAATGTATGGAAACAAAGGAAATGGTGTAATAAGTACTAGTATATGTACCATTCAATTTTATTTTTTACAGATTTATTTATTTGCGCATACAGAACTAGGGTACAGGCCAGAGGTGCAGGGGCGGTGAGAGGATTCACCTGAGGCAGAGTGGGAAGCAGAACGGCCGACTGACTGAAATACACTGCTGAGGGGAGCAGCGGGCGGGTCAGGAGAGGTCTGCCATGCCATGTGGGTCACCTCCCTGGCCAGGAATCAAACTCATGCTGCAGTAGCTGCAGCTAGCTTCGTAGTGTTATACTTTAACCCGTTGCACCAGTAGGGAGGGCCCAGTACTGTTCAATTACAATAAAAGTTAACCTTTACATTATTTCCTGCCATTTTTTTAGCAGTAATGGAATGTTACCTATTTTGGTTCAAGTTCCACTCATGGCGTTCTCTTGCCGCCTTCCCTCACATGATGTGTAGTTTGTAAATCACTGTTTCAGGTCATGGAGAGGATGTTTGAGCAGGGGCATTACACCTGCTTGTACAGGTGCTTTTGGAAAATCAACCTAACTGCTGTGCTGAGGCGTCCATGAGGATGAAAAGGCGGAGGTGGAGAAGCCAGTGACAGCCAGTGAGTGTGGCTACCAGGCAGCTGAAGTCCAGTCTTTCTGCCTCCTCTTCCCACCCCTCTCAGGTCATCGGCTCCTCTCTGCCTTCACTTGCTTCTCTCCCCAGTCTGATTTTCATCACTAGTCACTCTACCCATATGCTTGTTACTGTCCCAGAATTCCTTGCTTTCTTGCCATTTGACCATACCAGTGATAACATCCAGTCTTTACACTACCAAACTGTTTCTGCTGCCCTCCAGAGGTCACTTGCCTCTCTCATTTCACTTTATTACTTATAGTCATTTGCTGTAGCCAATGTCCAGAATGACGCAAGTCTTCATCTAGGTGACCTCAGCGGACTCAAGCCTATTTTGGACTAGGCTGGCTGGGCTCCTGAAATCACTCAGGCTTTTTTCTTCATCAGAAATGTAGATGATGCCTCAACATTACTGCCAGATCTGTTTGTAGAGTACAATTTTGATGCAATTGTGAAAACTGTCCAAATGACATATGTGTTTTGGTAGATCAGGTTTGGGGTTTTTATTTATCAACAATGCATTTCCTTTTTTTAATTGCATAGATTTGACTGTGCTTCAAAAGTCAATTAAAGCTTTTGGTTGATTATATTTATTTCACTTTTAAGTATAATTTCATGAATCCAAATATTTGGCAGTGAAATCTTTGTTACAGGACTTTTGACAGACACAACAATGTGAATGAATCTCAAAATGATGCTCAGTGAGACAAGTCAGACCAAAAGAAGGGATTATAGTGTATACATTCATTTCTTTGATTCTAAAAAAAACCCCAAACTAATCTGGAGGACTGAATGCAGATTGATGGTTGTGTGGGACTTGGGGGGAAGGGAGAAGAGAAGGTGTGGGAAGAACATAAGAACATTTTGTGGGGACAAGAAAAGGTTAACTTGGCTTGAGTATGTGTGGTTGTATCACAGGTGTAGACCTGTGCCAAACTTTATTAAGTCATAAATATGTGCATTTTTATGTCAATTATATTTCAATAAAAATAATTCACAAGGAAAAGATTTTTCAAGCCATTAAAACAAACAAAAATCCCTATCATAATCAGGTAGTATCTGTACCCAGGACTCCATATGACTTTATTCATTCATTTAGTCTGTGTTTTTAGAAAACATCTACTGTGTACTAGGCCCTCTGCCAGGAACAGAGTTAAAGATTCACAGGAAGGTTACGTTCTGCTGGGGGAGGCAGAGCAACAAGCAACACTAGCAGAGTGTTACAAGTGTCGTGCCAGAAGGGGAAGCTTAGAAGACATTTAGTCAGATTATCTAAGATTATTTGGTCATAGATGCCCGAAGCTGTGCTGAGAAGGATTCTGATGCTAGGCAGAGTCCCAGGCAGGAGGGGAGAGATGGTGAGTGGCCACCATGGCCAGTGTAAGGTTGGACTGTGAAAACTGGCCTTCTTCACATTTCCCAATAGCATGACAATTTCAACTGGTTCCAAAAATGCTTGAGAATAGCAAAGACCTCTCGCTACGCCAGTTATTATTTTGTTCCAGAGCAGCCTTTGTGAATGCAAAGGGTTTCTGGTTGAGAAACAACCTTCGAGGCTGGAGTGCGGACAGAGGACAAGGGCTCTTTTGTTCTCAAAAGTTGTTTTCAAGTGTTTTTTACCTGCTTTTGTGTCTGATTCTCCACCAAGAGGACTGCAGCTGGATTGTAGAGTAGAAGCAGGTCCAGAAAAAGAATTGCTAAAGAATGCACGTAAACAGGATGTCAGATGTTATCCTTAGCCTCTTTCCCCAAATATAGTTTTTTGGCTGCAAAGTAAAATGCCATTCTCCTAGCTTCTGCTTAGACGCAGTGATGGCCAACAGCAGGCACAATCTTCATTTGCTCGGCACCTTGTCACCGTGCAACTCAATGTGTTTTGCAAGGAATGATCGTGACATGTCATCTCTGTGAGATAAGATGAGGACACCGGGTCATTTCTTGGAAGAATGTTCTCGGCCTGCCCCTGCGGAGCCCGTGTCGCTAGCACAGCTCCTCACAAGGCTCAGAGCCGTCTGACCTAAGAGCCAGTTGGCGTCTTACTCCTGCCTGGAGCCAGATTTCACTGGGGTTAGACTATTATTGACAGCATTTCCCCGCACTGCGGGCCCCCCCCCCCCCAGCTCATCCCCAAGGTCCCCTCGGAGCTGGCTCACCTTTGTTTTCCAAGAGCAGTTGCTTCCTTCTTTCTCCTCCCTCCCCGGCATCCTCCTCACTTCCTTCCCTTACAGCTTCTTGCACTGTTGCTTGTGTGTGTGTGTGTGTGTGTGTTTCTTTTAAAAATCTTAACGAGTTTATCTTGCTGGTTTTGAAGGGGAAAAACAGTGCTAGCCAAGATCTTTCCATTCAGTCTATGCTGACATGTTTGAGTGTGATCTCTGGGGTTGTCAAATCCCACAATTCAAGTAGGTTCCTTCCAGCATGGTCGAAGAAGAGCTGTTTTGAAGCTTTGCTCTGCAAGCACCAGAAGAGGACCCATAAAAAGGAAGCCAACAGCAGATGTAATCACGGATGTGGCTTAGCCTTTGCAGCTGCCCGAGACGACTGTTCGGAGCTTACAATCCTCAGAAATGAATCCAGAAGAGCGAATCGTGACATGGCTTATATCCCTGGGGGTTTTAGATTCCCCCAAAAAGACCATCTGTGATCCAGAGGAGTTCTTGAAGTCCTCACTGAAAAATGGGGTAGTGCTGTGTAAACTGATCAACAGACTGAGGCCTGGCTCTGTAGAAAAGGTAAGGGGACCGGGCCGCGGCCGTGGCCTGGGGATGGTTGCCACCCAGAACAGCAACGCTGGATGCCCGGGACTGCTTGCTGTCCAGGCCTTGCAGCTCCTCTGCTCGTGTGTCTTTCTAATAGGGAGAGCTTCTTTCTTACTGTGTTTGTCATTTGACATAGTCAGAAAATGAAACGGCCTTGAGTCATTGGCCCTCAAGTATTAAGACAGTAAAGTCCTGTCACACTGCTTGTGCCAGGGGACAAAGCTTGCTCTGACATACATACATCACCCCTCCCTGTGTCGTGAGGGCATGGGTTGGACTTGGGGTACATGCAAGTCTGTGGATTAGTGAGATGATTTGTAAAAGATATGGATCATGTCTATTGACAGTTTAACTAAAATCCATGTAGATGTTTTTTCTCCAAGAAATAAAATATTTAGTGAGAGTGAGGCTCTTTGGCAACCAGGAAAAACAATCTACAATGTCACATAGGATTGGTAAAATAATAGAAAGCAAATATATGTTTGGACTGCAACATGTGTTCAAAGTGAAACTAACCTCACTCTGTCTTCAAAATTCAAGATTTGTTATGTTGGGGATCTATGGACCATTTATGAAGTGGGCACTTGACATAGATGCAAAGGTAGAATCCAGTTACTTCCTTAAGATCATCAGGGAATGGGAATGGGAAGGTCTTTTGCCTTCTGGAACCAGTTTGTATTTTAACTGAACAGTAGACATCGTTCCTTAAACTTGAAAATACTGGCGGTGAGATCACGAGAAGTAATGAAATGTAGAGAACGGTGAAGGCGAAGGTGGAACTTTAATACATTTTCGTGAGGAGGAGGGAGCAAGCTACGAAGTTGAAAGCAAGCATCAAAGTCAACAAAATGGTCTGGGTCACTCGAATTCATTAGCACCCCAATTTGACGGAGGGCATGAGAACAAGTTTCCAAGTAGAGCTGATGTCGGGCTAAAAGTTTGGTGGCATTTGAGGTAAATAACGACCGTTTAGATTTTTGCCTCACTTCCTTTAGCGGTTATTTGTCTTCCTGGGTTGGCAGCAAGGTGGAGTTGAAAAGCTCAGTTTATCTGGCCTGCCCGGGAGTAGGCTAGGCTTGCCCTGGGATGACACTGACCCAGTAACATCCGCCCTGTTTCTCTAGTTCTACCTGGAGCCCCAGACTGAAGCCGAGTGCACCCACAACATCAACGACTTTCTGAAAGGCTGTGCCGCCCTGCAAGTAGAGGTAAGCTTCCCAGCCGCCTTCCTGGTGGCCTTGCTCTTCACTCTGCTAATAAAGATGGTGTTGCGGTAAACACTTGCTTCATTTTCGCTGTTAAATAGAGCTCACATCTTACAAACCCAACAGTGGAGGGTGTCGGCCCCAGTGGTGACTTGCTAGTTTGCCTTTCCCAGAAATCAGTTCCAAAACAATGAAAAATCAAAACGTCAGAACTGAGAGACTTTGAAGGCCAGTGCTCAAGCCCTGAAGGAGGCTCCCCGTGGCAGAGTGCTTCTCTGCTGAGGGCCACTGAGAGCTGGCCGATGCCTGCTGCCAAGGGGCACATAATCTCTGAGTTGGGATGAGGGAAAAATCTATTGCCTCTATTTCCCATTAGCATTTTAGAACAGGAGCATTGAAAAGTTTAGAGAACATTACCCTGAGGCTGACATTTTACATTATAACACAATAAAAAATATTTATTTACTTATGCATACAAGAACTGGGGTGTAGGCCTGAGGTGTGTGTGTGGGGGAGTGAGAGGATTCACCAAAGACAGAGAGGGGAGCAGAACAGCAGATCTACTGAAACACACTGCTGAGGGGAGCAGCAGGTGGTCCAGTAGAGGTCTGCCACACTATGTGGGTCAGCTCCCTGGCCGGGGATCAAACTGGTGCTGCAGTGGCTGCGGATCACTTCATAGCACTGTGCTTTAGCCCATTGCACCACCAGCGAGGGCCTACACACACACTTTCTATATTCCATGATTTTATATTGTATGGATTCTTAAGTTCCTATGGGGTGCTACTGAGAGGAAGGCGATTTTTCACCTGTGTGTCAAATTACTTGACTTCTCTGGGCCTTAGGGTTTTGTTTTTTTTTTTATCTGTAAAATACTTTACTAGCTACTCTGTGGTGTTGTGATGTTCAAATGAGATACTGCATAGTAATTTAACACTAAGAGCTCTACCCTCAAAAGCTTTGTGAGATGATGTGTAGAGAAAGATCAGTACAGGCCCAGGGACGTGAGAGGTGTAGACATGTATTTCTGGTATATTTTCACCAGAAAGTGTCGGCTATGGCTTGTGTATGGAATCTTTTTTTTTTTTTTAAGATTTATTTATTTATGTATACAAAAACTAGGGTACAGGCCAGAGGCCCAGGAGGTGAGTAATTCACCAGAGACAGAGTGAGTGAGGAGCAGAACAGGCAGATCGAGTGAAGTTTACTGCTAATGGGAGCAGTGAGCGGGTCTGCCACAACATGTGGGTCACCTCCCAGGCTGGAAATCGAACTTGCATTGCAGTGGCTGTGGACAGCTTCAGAGCGTTATGCTTTAACCTATGGCACCACCAGGGAGGGCCCGGTTTGTGTACAGAATCTATCGCTAGACTTCTTGGATTCAAATATCAGTACTCATGCTTTGGTGACTTTGTACTCAGGACTCATGCTTTGGTGTTTTTGCTTGTGATCATGTTACTGTGCTTAACTGCACCTCTAAGCCTCAGTCTCCCAATCTGTAACATGGGAATAACTCAGCACCTATCTCTTCGGTTTGGATTGAGATTCAGTGAATTCACACTGATGTAAAAGCACCTAGCACATTGTAAGTGTTCTCCAAGCATCACTCTTAGTAGTAATAGAAACAGCTTTGCCTCAGATACACTTTGCTTGCTTCAGAATTTTCCCTAAAGTTAGCCATAGCACCAGGCTATGCTTGTCTCAGAGCATTTCATTCCAGGTTTCCATGCTGCCTAATTTTAGCTCGCTGTGTGTGTGTGTGTGTGTGTGTGTGTGCTCATGCATGTGATGCACAGTGGCATCGGTATGTGTGTGTTTTAGGTGGATGTAACTTGAGGCCACTCGGTCCCTTATGGAATATCTGTCATGGAACAGATCATGGTTTTTGTTTTTGTTTTTGCTTGTCAAATCAAAATATAGCATGACTGCCTATGATTTTTTCCACTCTGAAGCTGATGGAAGGTATACTGAGCTTCTGCACAGTGCTAAAAAATAACAGAGACCTCCTGGGCCTAGTACTGTTGGGGACTGAGTCATTGCACAAAAGTGGATTTTTCTGCTCTTGAAAGTTTATTCCTTTAAGCACCAATGTGGAAAATATCGGTATCTACTTTGGATAGGAATCTTCTAAAAATATGTATCATACATTTATAGCTTCCTAAATGAAAGGCACTGGGCATGTTTTTCTTTTTGTAATTCTAGCTGGCCTGAACAGCATATGAATGCGTAATGAGGCAACATCTGGCACATACCTTCTCTTGTTTGACAGACTTAGGTCAGCGTCTTGGCTGGGTCAGTTACCAACTATGTGACTCCGGGAAAAATTCCTTGGCCTCTTGTGCTCCAGTTTCCTCATCTGTGTAATGGAGACATTAATAATATCTACTGCATAGAACTGTTTGAAGGCTCAAATGAAATAATGCCTCTAAGGCACTTCTATACCACTGCCCACAAGACACTTGTCATACGCGCTCACTGTCAGTGTCATAAGTAGGTGGTGTTGTGTGCACACTCAGGCCTGTCGGAGCCACATGAAAGAGCTTCCTAAGAGAAGTCGGATCAATGCAATACACAAGGAATGAGAACAAATGATGAGCTGTTAAGCTCCAGCAGCCAAGGGTACTGGCCGCCCAGTCTCAAGCTCCCAGGTGGCCAGGAGACAGACCTAGACACAAATATTAGCAATGTCACTTTGGATTGTGGGTCTGCTATAGGACATGCTTAAAAGTTTCTAGTGGATGCTTGGAAATGTAAATATACAGAAAACGACAAGAGCCTAATTGGCCTAGTGTCCAGAACACACTATTATTGATCTCTGCAGAGTAGAGTGGGGAGTTCCACTGCTGAGCAGGTTCCGGAAGGCATGGCTCACCTGCCCCCCAGGTGTGGCCATGAGCTCAGGATGGGAGGGAACATGGGCTGTACCACCGGCACCACGGGTCTGACTGTGGGCACCCACCGGTCACCCAGAGCCCTGATGTTCTTCCCTTCCTCTGCTTGGAGGTCGCTGGTGCCCATGAGCGTGACCTCTTGGTGTGGGAGCAGCAGGTCTGCTGTGGCTTTCCTCACCTGCTGCCCTCATCGTGCATCCACTAGTCATGACCTGCTGCTGTGTGTCACACTCAGGGGAAGACGACTGTATGTCCCAGGCTGGTATACTAGTGTCTGGAGGAAGCAACTATTCATGATTCCCCAGGCCCCTCAGGTATCCAGTCCCCCCAGTCCTCTGAAACAGTGCCTCTCTTCTATGCTGGGCAAAAACACCCAAGTAAATGACACCAGATCCCACAGGAAAGCAGACTGTAACATCAGACAGCGATGTATTAGTGGGGGGGTTGGAGGGAGATACTGCCAGCTTGAGACTGCTCTGTGAGACAGCATCTTTTCCAGCAGGCGGGATCCCTGAGCCCCGGTAGGAGCACTTAGACCAGAGCCAAATCATCTTCAAGATCTGGGAAAAGTCTTCATGGACTGTGACCTCTAGTTCTCTGAGCTCACCTACCTCAATGCATTCGGGTGCGACTACCTCAAGGCTGTTACAGGCACTTAAAGGTGCCTTCATCACAGGCGCGCTCCAGCAGACTGCAGTGCCCAGAGCCATCAAGCTGCTGCTGCTTGTGGCAGAGGAGAACTAGGAGTTGGGTGGACAGAACGCCCTGAGGAATCTGATGCTACAAGCATTGCCCTGACCCTTCCCCTCCCCCACCCAGTTTGTATGGGGACTGTTCCCACCACCCACCTCTGCGTCTTCCATGTTGATTTTGGGGTTGTTCTGTGCCTTCCAACAAATCACACCCCTGCCTTTCCCCCCCCCCCAAGGAAAATGAAAGTGGTGTTCCCTGCCTTCACCATGTGCTTGGGTTCCCCTTGTTTTCCGTTTCCACTGAGCACCCCCCCCCTCCATGTGCGCTCTATAGCCACTTTACCCCTGAGCTATAAGACAAATACAATGGGGAAAACAAAAGCAAAGGAAAGAAAGAAAAAGCAAAAGAAGAAAGAAAGAGTACAGCTTAGAACGGGCAGTTTGGAAGCAAATGGAGCCAGAGATGTGGCAGAACACCCCAGTGTGCCTGCTGGCTGCGGGGCATGGTGACCTCGCTAAAGAGCCACCCGCTTCTGACCCGCAAGGTTGTCACTGGCCTCTCCGAGTAGCCTCCATCTTGGTGTTTCCATAGGGCCTTCGTGGCGCATGTCTAGGACGTCACACAGCTGGGACTAGTCAGGGCAGTCTGCTGAGACAGCTCAGAAACAACTCCCCAACTCTGATAGTGTGTTTTGAAACACACAATACTTACACAGTTTTAAATATTGATGTGATAAAGGTGTCTTTTATGCCTTTGGAGGGATGTCAGATTCATCTAGTTGTTCTTTCGTTACTTGTATTTTGTGTAGCATAGCTAAGGAACCAGGTTGGGAGACTTTTTTTCCTGTATTTTCTTCTCAGTGTGTTATAGTTTTAAGCTCTTGTATTTAGGTCTTTATTGCAGGTTGAGTTGTTTTTTGTACATGACGTGAGCTGCTCCAGATTTCTTCTTTAACATGGGGAGATCTACTTGCCAACATTTTATTTTCTTTTAGAGAAAACATTGTCCTTTCCTTCCCTGAGTTGATTAATGTAGCTTTGTAGTAGATTTTCAAAGCAGAAATAGTGAGTATTCCAACCTGCCCTTTGTTTTCCAAATCAAATCATTTTGGCAATTCTGGATCGCTTGCTTGCCCATATGGATTCTATAATCAATCAGCTTACCATTCCTGCAAAAAAAAAAAAAAAGCCAGCTGGAATTTTGATAGGAATTTTATTCAATCTCTATATCACTTTGGAGAATCCTTAATAATATTAAATCTTCTCATCCATCAACACTGAATGTATTCCCATTTATTTAGGTCATTTTAAGTTTCATTCAACAATGACTTGCAAATTTCAGTGTAGATGCCTTATACTTCTTTGGTTCAATTTCTTGCAAATTGTTTCATTCTTTTTGGTGTCATTGTTTCATATTTGG